ACCATTTCCAGAGACTTTAAATGGGGGGGGGGGGTATATTTATATTAGGTTTATATTTTTTATATATGTATAATTTTCACCAGTTTCACTGAGGAGTGGGTAAGCAGAGCTGCTTACACTGTGGTATCAGCATGCAGAATCTCAATGCAATTTTATAGTTGGGGCCACAGAGTGGCATTTTATACACTGGCCATATTTTTTTCTGAGTAAATACAATGTGATTAGTTGACTAATATTTTATAAGGGTGATGTGAGGTTTCCACAGATCATACTGGAATTATCAGAACAAGAGGCCAGTGACATAGGGAATGACTAGAACCTAAGCTAGAATGTGGATAAAGACTTGAAAGCAATTCCTGAAGAGAAATAAGCATTCCAAGTCACTTATATTATTTTATGTTATTATCTCTTAGCCTCTAAAAAGTAAAACTTTAGGGGCACCTGGGTGCATCCGATTCTTGATTTCAGCTCAGGTCATGATCTCAGGGTTGTGAGATCGAGCCCCACGTCAGGCTCCACACTCAGCAGGGAGTCTACTTGAGATTCTCTCTCTCACTCTCCCGCTCCCCCCACTCTCTTGTTCTAAAATAAAATAAATCTTTTTTTAAAAAAAGTAAAACTTTAGAATTTGCCCTCTAAATGTTGCTTCCTGATTTCTTCATTATCAAATTAAATAACTATACTTAAGTATGCAGAAGACCTTTTCTATCATAAATAATTAAAATTTATGCCTGTAAAGAGGAAACAACTGATAAGACAGACTATTTTCATTTCTTTCTTATTTTTTTAAATTGTTGTAAGAGCACTTAACATGAGAGATACCCTCTTAACAGATTTTTTTCAATGTGTAATACAGTATTGTTAATTTATAGGCATAATGTACAATGGATCTCTAGAATTTATTCATCTTGCATAACTGAAATTTTATACATGCTAGTTGGCAACTCCCTATTTTCCCCATCCCATAGCTCCTGGCAATCACCATCCTACGCTTCTGTAATTTTGACTATTTTAGATACCTCATATGTGTAGAATCATGCAGTGTTCATCTTTCTGTGACTGGCTTATTCCACTTAGAATAACATCTTCAGTGTTCATCAATGTGGTCACATATTGCGGGATTTTCTTCTTTTTTAAGGCTGAGTAATATTCTATCATGTGTATATACCACATTTTCTTTATCCATTCATCCATAGATGGGCGTTTGAATTGTTTCCACATCATGCCTATCATGAACTAACGCTGCAACGAACATGGAGTGCTAATATCTCTTTGAGACCCTGACTTCAATACTTTCAAATAAATAACCAAAAGTGGAATTGGTGGATTGATCATATAATAGCTCTATTTTTAATTTTTGAGAAACCTCCATACTGTTTTCCATAGTAGCTGCACCTGTTTGCATTCCCCCCACCAACAGTATACAAGGGTTCCAATGTTGGCCTTTTCAATGTGAGAGGTTCTTGGTTGGCTACCGTGGTTCTTAGCCATGGATGTACATTAGAATTGGAGTCACGTATAGATAAATCACTCCAGACTTACCTGGTTTTTACAAAAACTCCACAGGTGATCTCAGTCTGTATACCTAGGTAATATCAACTGGAATAGTTAAATAAAAGATGTAAATATATTATACTTGTACCTTTTTAAATGTCCAGCTAACTAGTTAGCCAGTGTATGACATATTTGTAGAGATATAGCTGTTTTAAACATGTAAACATGTTATGTTTAATTTGATAGCAAGGCAAATTTATTTTGATAGTTTTACAATAGTTCTTCTCTTGGTGGCAGGTTACCTTCATTGGAGAATAATGTAATGTAATTTTCACCTTTACATTTCAAAAAATGTTTAATACTGATTTATATTTATTGTTCCATTTATGTATTTCTAGTTTTTTTTTTTAGATTATAAGTTGTTTACATTATTAAAAACCAAGCTTAAAATGCCTTTTTTCTTTCCTGGTGATTAGTAAATTTAAAAATTCTCTCAAGCATTAGTAAATGCTCACTGAGGAATTTTCTCTTTTTGAGCACAGTATGCTTCCTTTTAGCTATGTACTGGAATTTACGTACCTTCCAAGGATTCTTGGTATTTAAATGTAAAATGTTTTTGCCTTTTCCTTTTTCCTTAGTAATTTAAAAAATTTTATTCTTAATTATGGTAAAATACTTTAATTGACTTTTTAACATTTCAGTGCTTTTCTAAAGAGCTGCTCCTAGAAATGCAACTAATTGTTTCTGTATATCAAAGAAAGAAACATTAATCACTAAAATCTTGCAATTAGAGGAACAGGAGGCACAGAATTCTTGAGTTCCAGAATAAATTCCCCTAGAACACACCCACATCCCAGAGACCAAGCATACATTCAACAAGATGTTAGGCTCATCAGTTAATTCTAATAGAGTAGGAAAATGATTGACTGTTTTGCTGTGTCAGTGTGAAAAACAGTGAAGAGCAGCATGCCCGACTGAAGGCACTGCCTTATCCAGTCTCCTGCTATACCCTTCCGTCTGAATATATGTTCTCTATACTTCCTCTATAACCATTCCCCCGCCACTCTACATTGTTTTATTTACTAAATTCCTTAAATCATTTCTTTGTTGGGAAAACTACAAATTTAATTCATTTTTTGTCTTTGATTCCCAGATGTATTGTAGAAACTGAAAACTTAGAAGAAAGAGTAGCTGTGGTGAGTCGAATAATTGAGATTCTACAAGTCTTTCAAGAGCTGAACAACTTCAATGGTGTCCTTGAGGTTGTCAGTGCTATGAACTCCTCACCTGTTTACAGACTAGACCACACATTTGAGGTAGGTTTGTGTAGGTGTTTTTTAAATGAAGAATCAGGATTTTAATAATCGTGGTCTTTAATGTTTAAGTGCCTTATCTGTCTTTTCAGTAACAGTTTAAAAGATGGAATTGTCTAAATTTTGTATTGAATTGGTTGCACTTTATAAATTAGGCATTCTCGTTAAAATGCATTCACAGGTCCTAGGCTAGGTTAGAAGATGAAAAACCTTTCAGCACTTTATTTGTATGGAATATACAATTAAATGCTCTCATAATTGTGTAAGGAATTGCAAGATATTAAACTGATAAGAACAGATTTCTCTCTCACACACACACATACACACACACACCCTAAGTTTGTTCTAGGATCAATGAAGACAGTGTCTTTGAAACAGTTATTATCATTTCTTAGAATCAAACTGATACTGTTGTGTTTGGGCTACTCTAAGCCTGGCATTTTGGGGCAAAACCTGTGATTCCTTTTGTAAACTTATGCTTCCTAAATATTATTTTTTTTATTATAGCAAATACCAAGTCGCCAAAAGAAAATTTTAGAAGAAGCTCATGAATTAAGTGAAGATCACTATAAGAAATATTTGGCAAAACTCAGGTCTATTAATCCACCATGTGTGCCTTTCTTTGGTGAGCATTTCTTGAATTTTTATTGTGTTTCTGGATAAAACAAGACACTTACTTCTTTAAATGACTGAATATACATATATGGAATATACCAGCAGAAAATACTTATTTAGTAAATAATTAGCACCTGAATCACCATAGAATTTTACTCTATTAGGACATTTGAAGATCGTGCCCAAAATGTAAATTCCATTTTTTTATTTCCATCTTGGGCAGCCATTTGATATCATATAAAGCTGATTTGTACTTTTATATTCATAGAAATCTTTTTTGTTGAATTTTAATAGACCAAACACTCTACAGAAGAGGTATGGCCATACTCGTTTATATTTATAATCCTCTTACTTGTAAACAGTTTCACATAGCTAAAAGTCATCTTTGAGCCCACATCTTCTGCACACCAAAACTTTACCCTTTTTTCTTGTTCTTCTACACCAGAGGAACGAAGTACCCTTTCCTTCGTTTTAAGACTTTTGCCTTTTGTCTGTATTTGAGAATATTTTTTTTTTTGAGCTAGATAACCAATCTAGCTAGATACTATATATCTAGCTGGGAATTTCTCAAGCTAGATATTTTACTAATCTGGCTTTTTATTTTTATTCTTTGATATACAGTATTTTAAAATTCTATAATCTGTCCATCTTTACCATTATGATTTTTATTGTTTCTAACCTTAGAAAATTCTTCCAGTCTAGTAATTTAATATTGCAGTCATATTTTCTTCTAGCTTATGATGTGACCTTTAAAATTATATTTAACTCTTTAATCAAAGTCTCTTTTAGATATATGAAATCTTCAAATTTATTTCTCCACCTAATTGTTTATTTGTTGACCCAGGTTTATTGAGTAATTTTCTTTATCCCATTTATATATGGTACCTCTTTCTTTAATAAATAGTGTTTCCCATTAACTTCCTATACAAGTGCCCCAGTTTTTAATGATTGGCACTTTATAATCTGTGATTCTCAACAAGGAGCAATTTTTGCCCCCCAGGGAACATTTAGCAATGTCTGGAGACATTTTTTGTTGTTCTAATTGGGAGGTGCTAGAGGCTTCTAGTGGATAGAAGGCAGGATCCTACAACGCACAGGACAGCCCCTGACAACAAAGAATTATCCAGTCCAAAAGGTCAGTAATGCCCAAGGCTAAGAAACCTGCTTTGTAGTGTTTTCATATATGACAAAGTTGGTTCTTCACTGCCACTTCAGTATTTTCTTTGCCAGTTTTGTCTCTGAACTTTATAATGGGGGAGGGTGATAATTCCCCAAAATACAGTTGGAACAGTCTATCAATTAATTTGGAAAGAACATATATGATACTTAACTTTTTCCTGGGTACTTTTGGTTGTGAATGGTATTCATTTTTTAATAATCAATTACCCTTAATTCTAGGAATTTTTAATTTCCTTGGCTTTTCTAAATATTTAATCATGTCTCTTCCTTTGGTCTTATTTCTGTGTTAGGCTTTATAGCATTAGTCAGACCTTCCCAAACAAAGATTAAACAATAGTGATGAAAATAAGTAGCTCTGTTTTAATTTCAGTTTCAGTGGGAATAGGTATAATTCTATTTGCTTGATTAGATGCTTTTTATTATGTTAAAGTTTCTTTTCATAGTTATCTTCTGTGTTTTTGTTAGCAAATACATTTATTTTTAATAGTTCACCACCTCTTAGTGGGGGAAAAATAATTTTTCTTGCTTAGCAAATTAAAATTATAGGTTTACTAATGCTGAACTTTCCTATTTACTAATATTAAACCTTATTTATTCATAGTAGATTGATCTTTTAAGTGTACAAATGAATTCTATTCATTATCATTTTTATTAGGATTTTTATATCCATCTACATAAACGAGATTGGTCTGTGATTTTTCTTTGTGCTCTATTTATCAGCTTTTGTTGTCGTAGTTACATTTACTTCATAACATGAGTTCAGTAGCTTTCCATCTTACTCTATTCTGGAATATCATGAAATGATCTAGCCTTTAAACTTTGAAGTAGGCCAACAGAAAAACCATCTGTGCCTGGAATCTTTTGTAGGATATAATTCTTTAGTAACATTTTAATTTCTTCCTTAATTTTTTTCTATTTCCATTTCCTGCTACACACTTGTCTCATTTCATTATTTTAAAAATACTAGTAGTCAGTTGTATCTACAAAAACATTTTTTAAATTGTTCCATTTGCAATGTATCTTTCCCATTTCTTTTTTATTAAGATTTTATTTATTTGCAAGAGAGAGAATGAGAGACAGGGAGCATGAGAGGGAGGAGGGTCAGAGGGAGAAGCAGACTCCCCGCTGAGCAGGGAGCCCGACGCGGGACTCGATCCCAGGACTCCAGGATCATGACCTGAGCCGAAGGCAGTCGCCCAACCAACTGAGCCACCCAGGCGCCTTATCTTTCCCATTTCTATTTTTACTTGTTTTACTTTGCTTTCTACTTCAAAAAGATAAAATCTTAAATGTAATTACTCTCTTCTTTTGTTTTCTATATCATGTATTACTTTTTATCATTATTAATTTATTTTTTTCCTGAGAACTTTTTGCCCCCCTACCTACATTCTTGGTAAAATTATTGAGTTTATTTATTTTCTCTTTCTGGTAAAACTTTTTTTTTTTTTTTTAAGTTATAGAAGTACAGATTCAGGGCACCTGGGTGGCTCAGTCAGTTAAGCATCTGCCTTGGGCTCAGGTTATGATCCCAGGGTCCTGGGATCGAGCCCCATGTTGGGCTCCCTGCTCACTGGGGAACCTGCTTCTCCCTCTGCCCTGCCCCCGACCCAGTGCATGCTCGCTCTCTCCCTCTCTCTCTCTCTAAATAAATCAATAAAATCTTTAAAAAAAAAAAAAAGTACAGATTCAGTCATATTTAATTTTTAAAATGGAATGTATCTTACATAAGATCTTGTAAGTTAGAAATGTTACACCTGTCTGGGCAGTACAGAAGACGCACAGACCTTCCGCAGTTCATAGAGGAAAGAGTGTAAAGATAATTTTGATAAGGAGTTAACGAACAATTTAAAAATAGTTTACAAAAAGAGGATCAAGAAGCAGATGCATTAAAGTCGATGTATTTGAAGTGTGGTGACTATGGTGCGAGTTCATACAAGGGAGCCTTGAAAGGACCTGGGTAGGCCTGATACTCATTTCATTCAATCTGTCAAATATTTCTTGAGTACCTGTGAAATATCAGGGACTATGTCAGGTGCTTAGAAAAAGTGAAAAATACATAGTCCCTCCATGTGCTCACTGAGCTCGTGGTCACACTACTTGTGATAGGTCACCACTGTGAGAGGTGAAAAGAAACTTGAGGGCCTGTTCCCCCAACTCCCTGTGTGGCCCCACTACCCCATCATCCTGATTGGTGAGCATTTATTCACACAAACTGAACTCTCTGAAGTACTCTCTTGCAGACATACGAACTAACATAACTGATCTTCGTAACATGTTAAGTGGGAAAAAAAGTTTCAGACCTGTATTTAGAGTATGATTCCATTGTGTTTAAGGTCGGCCATGTGATCTGGTGAGTGAACACAAACATGTAGCTAGTTTGATAGGTACAGACAGCCCACCTGCCCGCCTTCCTGCCTGTTTTTGCTTCTCTTTCTGGTTACTGAGCCTCTTCTGTTTCAAGGTCAGTTCTCCTGCTCTGGGAGATCTTTGTTGTTCCCCCAGCTCCTGATGTTAGCCACACAGCCTTTCCTGGTTCTGACCAGAGGGGAGAGCCAGATGTTCCTGCTGCTTCCTAATTCTGGCTCGTCTATATGGTAGCTTGTAGAAACTCCTTCCAGATTCTTATCCTTAATTCTGGGGACTGTTTTTGTGGAACCCCCCCCCCCCATGGGAGGGTCAGGGACGGTATCTGACACTTACTTCCTCTGTCATCTTGCCAGAATTCTCATTCAGGTCTCTCGCTGGCACTACACCATTTACAGAATAAAAGTCAGGCAACTTCTCCTTCTGAGGCTTTCCCAAACTGAGTCTATATCTCAGTTTTTCTCCATATACCAAAGTGTTCTACTCACTGTAAAGGGATATATATGTAGAGGCATACTGACATTTCCTCTAAGGTTAAAAAGATGTAGATTCTTCCTTCAGCCGAGCCTCACCTCTCTGCACAAACACCCAAGTCTGTAGTGTTGGCTTTGCTCTTTCCTTTCATACGGCTCTAGTTTTGTGTCCTCCTTCTGTTTCTTGTCAGTCTGCTTCCCCTCCACTCTTGTTCCCTGCCATTTTAGGATTGACTGTATGTCTCTTGCATCCTGAGCTATTCTTCAAATGCTTTCTCTTCTATTCTGAAATAATGTGCTTCTTTTTATTCGTTCAGAAACATTGTTGAGTGCCTCTACGTGCCAAGCCCAGGGCTAGGTGTCAAGAATCAAGAGACAAATAAAACACAGTCTTACCCTCAATAAGCTCTCTTGAAAGAGCAGAAAAATAAATTATATTACCATGTAGTAGATGTAATGTTGCATCACAGAAATGTATCAGTTGAAGTATGAACCCAGAACCCTGAGCAGCCACTTTTTCCTAGAAAGGCTGGAAAAGGCGTCAGCAACAACGTGAAACCTTGCCCTGCTTCATTATTTGTGTGGTGCTGCTCTGCTCTCCCTTTCCCCAGACAGCTGTCACCAGAGCAGGCTAGGTTACTGTTCAACAGTACATAATACTCAGGTCTGTGTATACGTTTGTACTACTTTTCTAACTCAGAAACTATATATATAGGATCCATGCTTAAACATTTTTTTACTGATGGTTGTGTGTAATCAACAAAATTTGGATACCACCTCTTTGATCATTTGTTCTCCTTTTAACAAGCCATTAGTATGTCATAAAATAATTTCCAGATTCTATCCTGAGCTCTCCCAAAATGCTACTTGTAAGCATTTTTACAACTTCATTCAAGTATACTTTCAACAGCTACAACATCCCATAATTGATTATCCTCCTTGTTCCCAGCGGCAGTCATTACACCACCACCCAGTCAGTCAGCCAGGCACAGAGCCGAGACTTCCTTCCCGCCCAGCCCGTCCCTGCTCTGCCAGACCAGTTAAGCAGTTGTGGAGTCTGTCCCTTAAGGACGTGCACACTTCCCTCTATACCTGTAGACCCTCGGACAGCCCTCATCAGCTCACCAGGACTACATTCATCCTGCTAACTGCTCATTTGGCTTCTAGTCTGAACTCCTTCTAACCCATCTGGCTTCATAGTACAGAGTAATCCTTCTAGAATGCAGATTGGCTAATAATCTCCTAACTATGAATAAAAATTAAGCTCTTTGAAAAGGGGCTCTTCATGACCCAATCCAGGTGCTGCTACCCACAAACCCTTCACAGTTGGGCCACCAGTGTGTGGCCACCAGTTGAGTCCCACTGGCCTGAGATACGTGTACTGTACGGGTATGTCTGTCAGACTGAACACTGAGCTCAGTGCATCACGCGACAGAGTGTAGTGGCAAATATAACTGGCTGCAAGTAAAAGAGCCAAGGGACAGGCAGATGAAAAGCCTGTGCACGTGAGAACACATGGTACGTTTGTCTTACGGGTGTCTAATCGAGAGTAGCCTCGGTGCTAAGAAAGAGCCAACAAATATACTTAAAAACTGGATACTTTTCAGAAGCAAACAGGCATTGATGTCTGTCATGTTTCATTATTGCTGACTTGTTCGCTGAGTTTGAGTCATTTAATCTTTTCAGGAGCGTGGCCAAACATTGTAGTATTTGAAAATATGCCTCTATCACAAAAGCCTTGGGAGCCACTGAACTGTGATCAGAACGGAAGTGTTGTTTTGTTCCTTCTGCTCCTTCTCCGGTGCACGGCCTGTAGCGCTGGGGGATCACGACTACCAAGCCCCTTGCCCGTGTCTGTCCTCATACCCTGCCCCCTGCCTCCCCCCACCCCAGACCCGTCCGCTCCGGCCGTACCGTGGAACAGTCCGCCTCAGAGGATGCCTGCCAGGCTTCATCATGAACCAGTGCTTCGGACGCACTGCTGCTTTGCCTAGAATGCCCTGCCATCGTACTCCTTACTTGAGGCTTACTGTAAACATCACTTCATCTGTGATGCTTTTTCTGTTCCCACCGGCCCAAGGCAGAGTTAGGCACGCCTTCGTGCTCTGCTAGCATCTTATGCATGACCACTAATATAGTACTTACCGAATTGGACTGTAGCCCACATTCAAAGCTCTGAACTCCTTGAGATCAGGGACTATGTGTCTTGTTCATCCTGGTATCTGCAGTACCTAATGCAGTGCTGGGCATACAGCGGAGACTCAGTATTTGTGTACTGGGTGAATGAACTCAGATATTCACACACACCCTTTTCTTTCCCCAAAGCATCAGTCAGTACTTTAGGGGAAAAGGCAGAAGCTTAAGAGAATAGGCCAAGACTAGCAACGATAGCATCCACAATCAGAGCCATAGCTAACTAAGCATTTACTTTCGTCAGGCCCTATTCTAAGCATATACATAAATTTACTCACTTATTTCTCAAAGCAACCTTGCTATCCTCATTTTACAGATGAGAAAACCAAAGCACAGAGAAGCTAAGCAACTTGCACAAGACCACACAAGTAGAAAGCAGCAGAGTTGGCTCCAGAACCTTTATGCTAGAACAGAAAGGAACTAAGGTGCTCCTGGCACCAGAGGGCCGTGTAAAGAACCAAAGTGCCTGTTACTTGGGTCCTTCTCCTCCTCCTCCAGTGCATAGCCTGCAGTGATGTGGAAACAGGAGCTCAGTTAGGAGACTGCCACTAATTCTAGAAGTACTGAAGACCAGAACAGACATAAATTATATGCAATACGGTGTTTGATAGGCTTGCAGATCCTTCCCCATTCCCACAAGTAAGCCTATCCAAACAGTTCTACCTCTGACTTACAAAGCCTAACAACCTTTGAGTAGGCAGAAAATATGATCCTATGAATTTAACATTTTCCCCTTTGGCCAGAAATGTGTGTTATTAAAGTGCGGGGTTATGTTCAAGTTCCTTTAACAGATCAGTGACTTATGTGAAATACCATATGGGTTTGGAGGTATGGGAAATTGGTTATTCCTCCTGATAAAGCTCTTAAATTTTGTTAAACTTGATCTCCCCTTTTCTCCTGTATTTATAAAACAAGTGTCACAGAAGAACTTGATACTTATAAAAATATCTCTCTTGATATTTAGTTAGCTACTTTTTCATCAAATGGAAATCTGTGCCTTAAATCTTTGGTGATGGTGATTGAGATAGTACAGTGTAATATGCCTACAATTACTGACAAAAAGAACTAGCTGGTTCCTTTTTTATCCTTGAAATAATTTCATTATATCTTCTAGGAATTTATCTAACTAATATCTTGAAAACAGAAGAAGGCAACCCTGAGGTCCTAAAAAGGCATGGAAAAGAGCTTATAAACTTTAGCAAAAGGAGGAAAGTAGCAGAAATAACAGGAGAGATCCAGCAGTACCAAAATCAGCCTTATTGTTTACGAGTAGAATCAGATATCAAAGTAAGTTGAATTATTTGAGGATACATCTTTCTAATTAAGTTTATAAACCAGCTGATGAAAGGCAGGTTTATTTCATGGAGGAGCTAAAGGAAAATAAAGCTAAAAATAACTCAGATTTTCTTATGTTGTTAAATGTTTTCTTAAGTTACTTTTGTGAATTTCAAACTGCATTTAAAATATTTAATACTAATAATTGTTTATTTCATTGCGTTTATTTTAGAGGTTCTTTGAAAATTTGAATCCAATGGGAAATAGCATGGAAAAAGAATTTACAGATTATCTTTTCAACAAATCCCTAGAAATAGAACCACGAAATCCTAAGCCTCTCCCAAGATTTGTAAGCATTCACATATTTCTATTTCTTTCATATTTATATATTTTTTGCAGTTATCTATGTCTGGTGATGTCCTCACTACCATATGTATTATACAGATTAGTTTTCCATGAGGGCATTCAGGGATGAAGTGTACATGTGATGGATAAAAGTAATGAATAAATGCTTAATAAGTATGCTCAGGAATATCCCACTTGATTGCAAATAAGTGAGCATTATTATTAATCTGAATAAATCCTGATAAATGAAGAAATTGGGCAAATATGTAAGTTTTTTTTTCAACAAAAATGTTATTTGAGATTTATTTTAAGGGCAGGAAATTTGATTAATTTATACTAATTCACTTGTAATAAACATATGCATTTATGACTTTTTTCTAAGGTAATGACTTATGAAAACTTTTAACCATGAATCATTAGTCATAAAAATAACAAGTTTGGTTAAAGATACTTTTGGTGGGAAAGTAAAATTTCCTTTGTTTTTTCGTGCCTGGCCAGTTTTATGTACAGTATCATCACCTCACTGGTCTGAATATAATCGGTCTTGTTCACAAAGTAAGTAAAAAATCAAGAAGTAAATATAAACGGCTTCCTTAGTAACTAACCAAGATAAATTTCAGAGTATCTGTGAACTAAAGGTTATGCAACTACCTCCCAAGAAAATTTCTCAAGGCATAAAATGGTTTTTTAAAAGATGGACTAAAAACAGCGAATTAGACATAGCTATATAGTCTTGCTCCAAAGAAAATTTCATAAAACTAACATACACACACACAGATGAAAACTGAAGCAATTTAATGCATTTGTAATTAGCTCAAACGATTCCAACATCACAGTATTACAGCATCGTAAGGTATTATCGTTCATAATAATGATCCTGGCTTTTCCAGCAAGGTTAAATTAGTTCAACAAGGTCTGTTTAAAAAACCAGAGAAATTTACAGCATATCTTAGAAAGATTTCATTCAAAAATATTAAGATAACAAATACTCTGGTATTTTTAGGACTAAGACTCAGCTATTTAAAGAAATTCATTGCCTAATATTTTAGATAGCCAAGGCTTTATGGAAATGGGATGTTAATATTTTAACTTGGGCACTTTGATTTTAATCATTATATAACTTCTTTAGTAACGGTTTATGGTTTTTATGGTTTTCCTAGGTATTAGTTGAGTTTTACCAGACATATAAAGAAAAACCTTCCTTTCTGTTATGGTGTTGTAAATATTGTGTTTCTTTTGATATGTCTACAGCCAAAAAAATATAGCTATCCCCTAAAATCTCCTGGTGTTCGTCCATCAAACCCAAGACCAGGTACCATGAGACATCCCACACCTCTGCAGCAGGAGCCAAGGAAAATTAGTTATAGTAGGATCCCTGAAAGTGAAACAGAAAGTACGGCATCTGCACCAAACTCTCCAAGAACACCGTTAACACCTCCTCCTGCTTCTGGTGCTTCTAGTACCACAGATGTTTGCAGCGTTTTTGATTCCGATCATTCGAGCCCTTTTCACTCAAGTAGGTGCTAACATTTTAAGTGCTTTAAAGTAATTGCTAGTATTTATTATATGTTCTAGAGGTGAAAAAGAATCTGTATAACTTTATTATTTTTTGTAAATTTGTAGACAAATACCATTTCAAAAGATATTATTATAAAAATATAAAGCAAATTCTAAACTCCAGCAACTTAACGATTTTTAAAAACCTGTTGGAATAGCCCTCTTTAAATTTATTATACTTTACCACAAGGCCTGGTGACGAAATTGGTAATTTAAACTTGATTTGCGCATTTGTTTTCAACGGGTGAATTTAACATGCGTTCCTCTTACCTAGAGGAAACAAAGAGAACTCCTAAAATCTGCAAGGATTGTCAGTCCAGTGCTTTAAATTAGCTGCCTCCAGAATTACTATATTTGAATACTGCTCAGTACATCATTGCCTTTCCACCAAACTCTGTAGGTTTCAAATTTCGCAGCAAGTATCCAGTTTAAACTCCTACTTAACCCTTTCTTGGTCTATACCACTTGGGGGATTGCTGCGTAGCGCCCGCTAATACACCGCCTGTGCTTGTTCAAGCCCAGCCATACAGATCTCACAGACTGCATACTGTTCCTCCTTCCTTTCTTAGTTCTAGATCAGGGCTGTCTAGTAGAAATATAATGTGAGCCACATGTGTACTTTAAGTGTTCTATAGCCACGTTTAGAAAAGCAAAAAGAATTAGGTGAAATTAATTTTAATAATATATTTTATTTAACTTAGTGTGTTAAATTGCAATATTATCATTGCAACATGAACTCAAGATAAAAATTTATTGAGCTATTTGGCATTCTCTTTTTTGTTCTAAATCATCAAAATCCAGTATGCATTTCACACTTACAGCACACCTCAACTCAGACTAGCCACATTCACGTGCTTATTAATCCACATATGGCTAGTGACTTCCAAACACTACAGCTCAGCTCCAGCCCTTTGAAGAGGCTGCCTTTGATATGTAGGTCACCCTGCTTCCATTCATTTTCTAGTCAATTCCACGTGGAGCTTTAGAGCTCTAAGAACACACGACCTCTTTCCGTTTGTTCAGTATTAAATCAAAACTTGAATCCCATCACCTTTACCCCTCTCAGCCACTTCCACGTGCTCTTCCCATTGGCTGTCTAACCTCAGTGTGCAGATCAAGTCCTATGCTGCTATCTGACAGAACAGAATCCAATCCTGAGAGACAGCATGTCATTACTGTGGGGAAGGAGGTCGAGAGGCGGGTGACCTAGGAGTTAGGAATCCGGTTTGGGATCTCAGTCTGCTAGTGAAATTTCTGATTTTAGATAAAAGACTTTCTGTGCCTTCTGGGGATCCAGCTAGATTTTTAAGGTTTCTTCCAACTCAGACAATCTAACTTTTTAACAAAAATTGACTTAAAATTATTTTTGGAGGTGTATTATTTTGAGATTTGGTCCAGAATCCTATTTATTTATTCCTGTGTTGTACATACATTCATAGTTACCCAGCAGTTTGTCTTGTCTTTTTACCACCTAAAGTGTGTTTGTTTTGAGAATTACTACATCTTGGCTTTATTTGGCTACTGGGGATTATGGGGTCACGTTATATACATATTAAGCTACCAGATATTTTTGGTAAGTTCAAGTAAACACCAGGTAAAAAAAAAAAAATTCCACTTATTTTCCCCAATTCATAAACCCTCTAAAATTAAGTAATAAAACCAGCACTTTTTGCAGTATACCCAACCTAAAATCATTATTAATTCTGACCTATTTAACTGTTTGCAGGGTTTTTTTTCCTTAGTGCAGATAGCTGTGGTCTATATTCTAAAGATTCCCGCATAAATAAATTATTGAAATCACATGAAAGCTATCAATTGCAAATTGTACTTCTCTCAGTTTAAAAAGTAGCTAAAAATGGAAGAGGTGGGAAAAACAGGAGATAAGCACATTAATATTGCCTACTAGTGCTGAATCTTTAAAGCAGTTAGTCACAGAGGGAAGAAGGAATCATTCTGGATGCAGTGCCCTGTCCCTACGTGGCAGGGGAACAGTATTTAACAGCTGGAAGGTGGAAAAACCACTGTTCCAGAAGTTAGGCTTTGCAAGCTTAGTTTGGAGGGTTTTCTCAATTTCGCTTTCTTTGTGATAAAGAAAATTCCTGTTACTGTTCCCTTTGCTCTTAGTAAATACTGAAAATAACTGATTTTGAAATCAGAGAAGCCAGCATAATATAAAACCATCTGTATGCTCAGTCCCTTACTTAAAACTTACCCGTGGCCTTTGTGTCGTCAAGGTCCTCAGTTGCTGATGACCCCACCTCTGCTTAACAGACCTGCTAGGACTGTGGGGGTCACCAGAGCTCCCAGCTTGCCCACTGTGTTGCCCAGTGAGAGTTCCTACGTCCTCAGAGCCTGTCAGGAAAGCGCTGCTGGGCCTACATTCTTACGTCATCTGAACATACTCCACTCAATACAAAACAGCAGAAAATTCCATTGCCTAAGTTTTTCAAAAGGCAAAGTTCGATTTTTGATCACTTATAATAGTGCTTTTTTGCTTCTTATAGTTTTGTCTTTCAAAACAGTTTACTTTAAAACCATAATTAATTAATCAGCCAGTATCTGTTGCATATCTCATTCCTTGCCAAGCACTTATACATCACATCTTCTCTGGTAAAGCTCATAATCTTACTGAGAGATGAAAAATAATCGTAGTACAAAGAAAATCATAGTTCGGTGCTTTAACCATTGTTAAATGCCATGATTCTCTTTGTACTATGTTTATTTTTCACTCTCAGTAAGATTGCAAGCTTTACCAGAGAAGATACATAAGGGCTCAGCAAAATGCTAAATGAGTGGTGAAGACACAGTGCTGTGGAAGTTTACACAAAGGTGACCACAGAATGGGCAAGAGTGGTCACGGGAAGCTTTGTGGTGAGGACAGAGAGGTAAGGAAACTGGCCAACCCCTTAGTGTTGCTACATAGACCCTCCCACTCAGCCCTGCTCCACACCTTGCCCTGGCCAGCTCCACCTTTGAGGTGGTGAAGACAGTCACCATGACGAGGGGAGAGACCACCCAGCTTGCTGTTTTGTTTCTGCTGCCATCACAAGGTGGAGAGGAGGAAGAAGTGCTCTACGTGCCTTCCTGTTTGAAGATTGCCAGGTCACGAAAGGGAGCCAGAGGTCCCACCTGGTCTTGTGCTGCCCTTGAGCTTCGGCTCTAGCCCTCAGGAGAGGAAGCTTTGACCAGAAAAGATGTATTCCAAGCATTTCAAGCTAGAATGCAAGGCTTTTCTTCATAGAAGATTGTTGTAGATGCTTAGTTTCTAATCTCAGATACATTTGCATTTAACAGGCTTTTGTGAGTTTAAGAAGTTATTCGTGATTTATAGAATTTTTTTCTATAGGAAAAGGCTTGTTCCTATTTTCAAGAATGACTGTTATAAATTGGAAAGTATCTTCAACAGGGTTTCAATCCTGACTATACAGTATGGTCCTCTAGGAAGCTTAAAAAAACAACCAACCTACCCATAGGCCCCGCCCGCACTTGAATTAGACTGGTACGGACACTAAGAATCAGTATTTTATTTATTTATTTTTTTAAAAGCTTTCCAGAGGGATTGAAATGCATAGCCAAGATTGAGAACCACTGATCTTTTGTCCGGGCTTTATACCTAACAAATTAGTACTACTTTTTTAATTAATTGGGCTTCACTCCTAAGTCCTTATCAGTAAATTTGTTCAGTACCTAGCTAGTATAGAATTTCTGGTACATAGTTCTTAATTAGAGACCAAGAAATTCATTTAAAATGACAAATCAGAAAAGTGCCCTTAACTTACCAAACACACAAATCTAAGCCTGTGCCATACATATAAAGACGATCAAAGCCAAGTCTGTGTATGTACAGGTGTGTATGCGTAGGGATAACAAGTCTTTCTAAAAGCCTGCAGTTTGTAGCTGTCATAAGCTTTGTGTTTTTATTTATTTCTTTTTTTTTAATTTTTTTTTTTTAAGATTTTATTTATTTATTTG